AGTCTGAGTTGTGCTGACATCATATAAGGCTCTATTATCTGACTTGTTGATGTATAAAAAGCAGTAGTACATCTAGAGAAGTACGAGCGGACCTGAACTCTGCATATGGCAAATGTCTGAGACAAAGAGAAGTGTCTTTTGGGGCAGGACACTCCTGAAGCAGTATGCCTGAGTTGTCATAGACAAGAATACTCTTACTTCTCCTATTTTTTTCTCAACTCCTTAACCTTCCCCTCCAGTTTCATTTTTTTCTCCCATTTATCACTTACTCCTTCATTTTACACCTTTTCTACTGATGGATAGCTTTTTCCTTTTTCAAGGTTTTCTTCCTAGTCTTCTCATTCCTTCTTCTACCGAACCATACCATCAATCCTATAGTATATTAAGGCTTTTCCCTGATCAAGACAGTAGGCTTAAACACAAAAAAAATCAAAACAAGACTTCTTACGATTGAAAGAGGAATCTGTAGCAAGGGAGGCTACACTTTCGAAACTCTAGGCATATCTTTCTATAATCACTAGTTATTTTATCAAGCTATATGAATGGAGAAGAGATAATAATAGTAGGAATTTCATTTGGCAGTACCAAAAGTATAAGGTTTTACTTGCTGAGAACTTAGACTGCCATCATATTTATCAGAAGTAAACAGCTAGATGAGAGCTTTTGCTTTGAATACTTGATAATATCACTACCACTCAACTCAAGAGATATGACAATGGGACATCCTCTTGTTTTAATTTTCTCCCAAGATTTCACCAAAAACTGTGGTCAGCTTACCCCTTCCAAAAGATCGGCATAGGATAATCACGCCTTATTAGAATCATGGCCTCTAGTAAGGAAAGACCCATGGCCTATATCCTGATGCAAACTGGTTTCCAGGTCCAATACAACAAAAAACTTGATTTTTCTAACCAAATCGTCACCTAACCATTCTAGGTTGAAATATTCCAATCCGGTGCTTGCTTAAATGAAAGACTTACCAAACAGTATTTGTTTGTGATACCATAGGTGGTAAAAAGAAGAAAAAAATTCCTTCTGAGATTCAAATAAAAAGTATCAAGATATCTGAATAGTTAAATAACCCTTGCAGATTCAATCTAATGTATAAGTTAGTATAAGAATCCTATTGTAAACAGATATGCTAACTATACCAACAGTACCATTTTGACTGTTATCAATCACCGGCCTCTAGTTGAGTCTATCTCATTTTCAGAGTGATGTGTAGGTTTAACTAGGACAAGCCGTGATAGGTTATCATTAATCTGCATATATATAGAGATATATAGTTTGTAAGAGATAATTGGTGTCATGCCAAAGAACCTAGGTCCAAGTTTAAGATAATTCTTAATAAAAGGCTCGCATCTAATACCAGTTGCAGTTAATAAAAAAAAAAAAAGGATACTAGAAGAGTTCAGACACTAATAATTCCAAGTTTTCAGATATTTCTAGAAAAAGTAATCAAGAAATTAATATATATAATTGAGTTTTATCAAGAAATTTTTTTTTATAGTTTTTTTCTTAATATTTTAAAATGAATTATATAGATATAGAAAATTAAGAAGTAATAATTATCAAAGAAAATATTAAAGAAGAAGTACTATATATCAAGACCACTTAATAAATATACTTTAGAGTATTCCAAGATCTAATCAAAAATCAATTTTTTATTTAGATGGCTTACTTATTGATTATGGAAATAATAATATGAAAATAAAAACAATATAAATCTAAATATATAAAAAAGTAGATTTTAAACAAAAGCAAATAATTGATTTTTATCTATATATATAGAACTAATAACAATAATCACAACACATCTAGCAATTTCAATAGATAGTATAGTTAAAATTTTTACAAATAATTAAACTTGTATTTCAAAATAGAAAATAATCAAGAAAAATAATTTAAAAAGAATATATAAAAAATGGTTAAAGGATAAAAACTAATTATTATGAGTATAAATAATAAAATTGATCAAAAAAAAAGTTTAAATCTAAAGTTTACCAAAATCAAAACATATTACCATGATCTCTATAATGATAAAACAGATGTTTTAATTAAAAACTTCTTGTAATAAAATAGAAAATCTTAAAATTATGTAGCAAAGCAAAATATTAAATAATCTTATAAGATAGTTTATTAAAAAAATAAACAATAAAACTATAGCATATTAATAGATAGTACAAAACAGAATTGAAAAAAAATAAAGTTAACAAATCAAAGAGTAACAAGATTATATATAGAATCTTATATAAAAAAGAATAAATGAATATATATTGAATATATTTTTCAAAACTTACAAAAAATTTTTTTCTTATTAAGTTAATAAATAAAATGAGTTAGCAATTAAAAAATTAAATTTAGATAAGCAAGTAAAATGTATTATATATAGTTTCCATAAAGAAAAAATAATTAATTACTTACTCGAATATTTAGTTTACAAGAAATAGATAAAAAAAGCATAAAACAAAGGTCTCAAAAAAGTTTTTAAGAACTTTAAAAAATTCTTGCAGAAAAGGAAAAATGAAGTTATAAAGAAAAATATGGAATTGAAAATAAATAATAGAAAATAAATAAAAAAAATTGGCAAATAAATATTCAAGCTAATAAAACAAACTTAAATATAAGTTAGGATATATTAAGTTTTTGTGTAAAATTGATAATAAGTAAATTTATTCTCAAGTTGATAAACCTAAAATATCAAAGTAAAAGAATTAAAAAAGAAGTAAAAAAATAGATAAAGAAGATGTAAAGTATAGTATATAATTAATTTTATAAAAAGATCTAGAATGCAAGATGTGAAAAGAAATAGAATAAGAAAAAACACAAGAAAATTTAGAGGAACAATAAATAAAAAGATCTTTTAGCTTTCAAGATTATAATACTATATTATTAAAACTATTATCAAAAGAAGGATCAAGGTTTGAAAGATATTCTATCAAGAGAAGTTAGGTTTGAGATAAAATAGTTGGATTTTAAGTTCTGTCAAAACTTGAAAAAGTAATTTGCAGTAATGAACTATAGATGATAATATTAGAAGTTAAAAGGATTTTTATTTGAACTCTTAATAAAAATAATAAATTATTTTCAAAGTTATACTTAAAGTAATAATTATAAAAATAAGTAAACTAATTAGAGTTTTTAGCTTTAATGATTTATATTATAATGTATAATCTATAATTGTTTAATAAAGTATATATAGCTAACCCAACAGATGATTAAAAAAAAAAAACTTAATAATTTTTTTATATGTATTGTATATAAATTGAGAAAAATTTAAAAATTTAAAATTTAAAAGAAATTAAATTTTATTTTTTCAAAAGATCTGTGGATCTATAGCACAATAATAATGCTTTCAGGTCATAATCACAAGGTCCAGAGTTTAATACCACATAAGAACCAAGTGAAAAATTAGCCAACAGTGACACAAAGATCTTATCTATCCTATAGTGATAATCTGATATCCCAGTATATAATAAGGAATCGACCACTTATCATGTCCATAACAAGATAGAAATCAGCTTGGTGTACAAGCTGAAAATCAAAACAGGTTCTAAACAATATAAGATTAAGTGATATGACATCCTTGATCAAGACTGATGTCCTATTTAAATGGAAAAGTTGGGCAGTAAGGTATTCCAGTATTCAAAAAGAAACATAAGATAGGTTTCCTTAAGAGGCAAAGATGAATTACCAAAAGGACAGGTGATTACAAAAAAACAAGACAGGTCTCTATAAAAAATATATATGCTAACAGAAGTCATAAAGATCTTATATAAGAGACCCCTGATACTGGTGATGCTAAACATCTTAGGCAAGTTCTTGACACATTAGTCTTCTTACGTAGAGATAGTAATAAGTTATCCAGTAAACTATAGTTCTAGGAAGTGTTATTTCGATTAGACAAGGTTTAAAACATGAATGGTACCCCATTAAATTGATAGATTAAAACATCACCTGATCCTCTGACTTTGTTAAGAATTAAAAAAAATCCTACACTAGATAGTTATATAGTTCCCCTATCCTGATTGGGTAAGATGTAAATAGATATTCTTTATACTATTTGTTGATCTGTAAATCCTTAGACAGTATGGGTAATTACTTATCCCGATTGTTTCTAGGATCTATCTTAATAATTAATAAAGGTTCTGATACTGGCACAGGAATAAGCTAGCATGTTTAAAAAATTTTTTTTTATTTTTTCAATTCTTTCAATTTTTTTTTTATATATACTTATATATTTTTAATACCCACTTTCTTATTTTTTAACTATTTTTTTATATAGTTTTCTATATTCTAGTAACTTGATGAAAATCAAATTTAAAGGCTTTTTATATTTACGATAAATCAATCAGATTTGTAATAAAATTTAACTATAATATGTACTATGCTGCTCAAGTGTATGTGTACTTATGTATTCAAATGATTAATATACTCACAATCTGAACTGGCTGCCAAAAAAAAAAAATGTAAAAATTATTTTTTATATATATACAGTATATTTTTTATTCATTATTATCTTCATTACAATTCTTTTGCAGCATCTTTATTTAATTTAATATGTGAAAATAATTATACATTAAGCTAGTGTCACGTTGCCTTTAAATTTACAATCTATTGACCTTAGATTTTAATTTAACAATACATCCAGAAACACTAATAAAGCTCAGCTATGTTTTCATAAAATCTCTTGATGGTCTAATCCTGCTTGTTTGCGAATTTTTTTGATAAGTGCCTTGCGCATAAATTGTTCACGTGCAAGTGTACGAACATTCTAAAAAGTTCAGAAAAAATAGTTAAAAAAAATATATGTATATATATATATATATATAATATATATACCTTCATATATGTATTCAGGTCTATCTTTTCCGTGTTTAACGCCCTCCCCAAGTAGTAAATCGCATCTTCTATTGCATTATCCTCTGCCACCAATTCAAATAACCTAAAAATATGTTATTAATCAAAGAGGAAAAATAATAAAGATGAGCAAAAAATACTTACTGATTGTAAACTATGGTTGTTCCACATAAAACTTCGTCAACCGAAGCTTCAGCCATATTCTTTGCTTTTTCAACTAGGCCATCTATCTCTACAATTTTTGATTTGATATAATCTGATTCTTCCCCGATTTTACTTTCCCGAGCAAGTAAATTAGCGCGCTCCATATTAACGCGCTCTTGGGATTGACTAAGAAGATCCCCGATAACCATCAATTTGTGGAACTCTGGTGAAAGTTTTTGAACGTACTCTCCACAATCCTGTTTAACTTTATCATATACAACTGATTGTAATTTTACTAACTCTGGATTCTGTGTCATTGGTAATGGTGCCGGCGGAACGATGCAAGGTGTAGGTGGCGCGTCAAGTATAGAATCTCCGAAAGAGGCAGATATCGGAACTGAACCAACTTGTTGCTGAGAAAAAGGTGGTGTTTGTGTTGGCTAGGTGGATTAAGTAATTCAATAAGGTTATATATTGCAAGAATATTCCAGACGTAATAATTTGCAATTACCGAAATTACGTTGTAACGCGAAGGAATGGGTGAAACTCTTCCACTATTATTCCTCGGTATATTATCTTTTTTATATGCATTTTGCTGATAAGGTGGCGGAGGTGGTAAAGGAGGTGGTGTTATTGGATTTAAAGAGCGGGGATGAATAATTGGTGACTTTAAAGTGTTCTGACCTCCATTAGTGGGTGGTTGAAGTGAGCTCGATGTTTTTGTTATGGGTTTAGCATAAACTGGTGGGTTCTGTCCAAATTCACTTCGTAGAAACGTACAAAGCGTGACAAGATTTGATTCCTGCGTGATCGACAGAATTCATCATATAAAAAGGATGCGTCAGTATATTCATAGGAAAAAAGGGAAAGCTGCTCGAAATATTTCCAAAAAACCATTTACACACAAACCTGACTATCCCAGTGACTTAAATATGGATGATAGCATCTGCCATTCACATCAACAATTTGCGATGGCTTGATCAACATACTGGATGTAGGAACCACAAGTACGATGGGAGGGACTTTGGGATATTCTCTTGGAATCCAAAGGTCGACTGGGATATTGTAAGGTTCTAGTCGATATGATATTGTAATTATCCCGCTCAGACATAATAATACTTTGCTCTTGCCATCGTCATAAGCTTGAAGTAAAGTGAGGAGTCACAATATCTCGTGAGAACTATATTATAATCTTCAATCCAGTTTTCATTGACTTGGCAATATCAAGAAAATCAAAACAAATTTTTATCTTGCTAGTTTGAACGTCATTGAAATTTCTCGATTTGTTACAGTAATTGTAGATTCAATGAAGGGATTCCATAGTGTAATAATATTATTTTAACAGTCAAGTACGTACTGTATTTTTCGCTCTTCGGGAAGAGACCATTGAATACACTTAGGGTGGCATCGACGTCTCGAATAACCCGATCTTGATGTGCGTACTACACAGTTGCAAAGTAATTCCTTAGAATTGCGAGACAAATAATGATCTATTCGGAAATTCAACTTACTTGGTAATTTTCCAAGATGTTGCGAGCCCAATAACGAGGATCTGTGTTCACTGTAGACAATTCGTTTATTAAATACGTTCAACAAACAAATAACAAGTTTTTAATAATGATACGTACTTTTTCTTTAAAAGAAGAGTGTTAATCCTTTCAAAGACCATTTTTGAATTGCTTGGCGCATGGCACGTGACACACCAATGTTATACATTACCAGATTAACGTTGATTTGCGAAAATTACCTGTTTGTTATTCTATGAAGGTAAAAATTAAAAGGTATTCTATTTTCTCATAATAAATTACGAATATAGAATTTTTATTTATTTCATCTTAATAATTTAGTTGGAACGCTGTGGCATTTTGGAAATGGGACGTACCTAATGAAGAAGTATGTGGAATTTGTCGCGTTGCTTTTGATGGTTGCTGTCCTACTTGTAAAAATCCGGGAGACGATTGTTCCCTAAGTAAAAAAACATTTATTTATTCAGTGATAGTAAATAGTTTTTGACAAATTTATTTAAGGTTAAGTATTTTTTTTTAGTTTGGGGCGAGTGTACACACGTATTTCATATGCATTGTTTATGGAGATGGCTTCAAACTGAAGGCAGTCGCGGACAATGCCCTATGGATCGTAGAACTTGGGGTAAGATTTAAAACAATTGGGTCTTAAATTAATTTTTCACAAAGGTCCTTACAATATACCGTGTATATTATATGTTTAATTGCATTTTAGTTACAGCGAGATAATAAAGAAATTTTGGATTTTTCTTGCTCAAGAAAGTATTTGATAAAATTCTTAATAAAAGTGATTTCTAGAATTTTGAATTATATTTGTAATAATTATTTTTTACGAAATTTTATTAAAAGAAATTTATATACACTGATATCAAGTTTATTAAAAAAGATAGAAATAGAAAGCTTTAATGAAGTTTAAATTTATTTATAAATTGTAATATACAAAAGAATGATATATAAAAAAGTAAAAAAATCAAAACTTTAAGTTTTTTTTTAAGCTAATTCTTTAACTAGTTAAAAAACTTTATATAACTTTGAAAATAATTTTTTACTTAAATTACTATAGATCATTTTTTTAAGTTTTAATAATAATTAAAATTCAACTATTTTATTTTATATTTGATTTTACTTATTACAATTTTTATTTTTGATTTTTAAAATTTATTAAATAAAGATCTTTTAATTTGAACTTGTTTTTATTTAATATTTTTTTTTATATTTTATAATTTAAATTTTCTTTTAAAATTGATTGTAAATTTTTTTATATCTTTAATTTATAATATTTTAGTTTATTTTTTTATAATTAGATTATTTCTTATTATTTTATATAAAATTTAGTATTATAATCAAATTTATATTTAACTAATATATTCAAGTGAAAATGTTGTTAAAAGAATAATTTTCAAAAAAATTATTCAATAAATTATTTATTTTAATAAAAAATAATCAAAAATATATTTTTTAAATAATATAAAAAAGATATTCAATTTTTTAAAAATCAAGTAAAGTTATTTCTATAAACTTATTTTATTTTTGAATAAATTATTATATACTTATAAGAATATATTACTTGAGCTATTTGACTGCAGTAGTGACCTGCAGGCAATGATATTAAAAGTTGGAAGGATCTTCACCTGAACTTTTAATAGAGCGAAAAATCACTCCCAAAGTTGTACTTAAAGTAATTACTAAAACAAGTGAGCTAGTTAAAGTTTTAGCTTTAGCAATTTATTCTATATGTATGGCTTACAATTGTTTAATAAAGCATATATAACTAGCCTGACAGAGAGTTTTAAAAAAAAAAAAAGTATCATATTATAGTAAAATAAATAAGTTTCTATAAAAACTTTGTCTAATCAGAATAGAAGCTTAAAAATCTCAACTTTCTTTCTAGAAAATTTTTTTTATTACTTAAGGGACTTGATTAAAAGATAAGAATGTTATGTTTTATACCTTTGTTTATCTTTTAATATTATAACTATTATCCTTGAGAACTTGTTCAATTGAAAAATATATTTTTAATTGATTTTTCTTTTCAATAATCAATAATGTCATTAGAATATATAAGTATAATCAATAAGAGCTTGTTTATATTTCAAAAATTAATATATTTTGTATTAATTAATTACCTTTGATAAGAATTTTTACTATCCAAAATTTAGGATCAAATTGAGATAGACAAAATTTCTCAAAAAACTATGAAAATAAAAGTTTTAAGAGGATCAAGACAATCAAAAAAGAAGAAAATAAGCCTTTTTACTAAGAAAATCTTTATAGATCTCACATTTCAAAGATTAAAAGACCTTCAGGTATTTTACAATTAGTACTTCTTCTTTTGAAAACTTTCTTATTAGTCTAAAGTTATTTTGAATCTTTTTTGATTTAGGACTGTACTTAGCATCTGTTTTTAGTTAATTTTGAGATCTTCATATCTATTATCTAATACCTTTTTAATTTGGTTTTTAACAAAAAAGCTTTTTTTTTTTTGTATATTATTCTAAGAATATATTCTATTCTGATAATATTTTTCAATTAAGAAGTTAATGACAAAAAAGTTTTTCTAGGAAAAAGAAATTAGATAAAAAAATATACTTTTTCCCTTCCCTATGAAGGTCTCAAAGTTTAGGAAGAAGTGTAGGCCAATAACCTCATGTCAGCTTGGAAAACTGATATCAATATTATAAACAGAATGATTTCTTTTTCAATATACAATAGTTTTTCTTAATATTTTGAAAATTTTTGCCTACCCCAACTTGATTCTGAATTTTTTGTTATATCAAATTTTGGATAGATTAATTGATTGAAGATCAAATTTTATTGTTCCATGATTAGTAGAAATGTAAATAAGAATATATGTGATATGAAATGCAAATATATTTCCTAAGATTCATAAAACCTTAGATCTATCATAAGTTATTAGCTAGTTATGCAAATAGATAACATCATATGAACTATGATTTTCTCTTTCTTATTTCTTCCTAAAAGTATTATGACTATAGAATAAATACTTCTTTAGAGACAAAGTTGAGTAAAATAACCATTGTTAGGTATTATTTTCTTTCTCTATTCTCTCTTCTTGTAAATATTTTCAACTTTTTCCCTTATTTTTTCTCTTTTTTCCTTTACCTCTCTTTTTTTTATATTGACTGGTTCTCGACTAGTAAAGTGATCTTTAGTACCAAATTGTGTTAAATATTTTGGATAAGCTCTGGCCGGTTAGGCTCCTTTAACAAATGTTAACAAGCCAATCAATAAATAAAAATCTTAGATAACATTAAACCAATGGTAGGGAGAAACTAGTAATATACTATCAAATACATTTGATCAATTATTTCTTTATTATTAGAAGAGATTATTTACACTAAACAGTTATATATTTTTTTTATTCTAGTTAGGTTAGACTTAAATTGGGTTTTGTAAATAAATAGTTCTTTGTACTATTTTCTTTTTAATAATTTGTAAATTCTTAGACAATACAGAAAGATATTTATTTTGATTATCCCTAAATATAATTTTCTTTGAATAAAGTAATCCAGAACAATGCAGAATAAACCAATGTTTAAAAAAAAAAAATCAGAAAATCAAAGTTCTATTCTATATTTTAATTTTTCTATTGTTTAGTTATAAAGTTTATAGGATCAGATATTCTTCTTTCTTTTATTCTGTATTGTTTTTGGACTTGATTTTTTAGTAAATTATTTGTTATTATTCTTATTAATAATAATGTATAATAGTCACTTTCTATTAATGTTTTAACTGAAATATTTTTAAAATCATATATATTGTTCAAACCGGTTTTTGATAATAACCAAATATAGTCAATTCTACTATATAATATATTATTTGCCCATATTAAATCTTTTTCCATTGATTTTCTAACCACATACAAAAAAGATGTTCACAAGAAGTTTTAATACTTCTATGCTAATAAAGTCTTACCACTTTCTTTAAACCAACTCAAGAGTTCTTTCAGAACTCTCTCACCTTTTCCCTCTCTCTGTTGTTTACAATCTCCTTTGAACAAATTGGACTCCTGTGACCTGCAAAGTTTAACTCCTATCTTTACTATCTATGGCAAGAAAGTTCCTAAAGGAAGAAGGACCAATGCTAAAGTATCTCACACCTCTCAGTTATGATGGAGATAACAAAGGTTCTGTTCCAGTCAAAGGACTCACTTTTCTATCTTTTGTCTGATGCTGTAGCCTCTCAGAGCTATCTTTTTCATAACTTTTTGAGGAATTTTGCCTACCCCCGTTTGACCCTAAAATTTCAGGTAGCACAAATCTCATTAACTCTAATTGGTTAACATGAAACACGTTTGACAGAATTGATAAACAATCTCCTATTGGTCACCTCACATGTCTCAAATGCATTTCC